CGGCGAAACGTTTGGGAATGTTCCACATCCATGGTTCAACTTTGGAAATGATCATGCAGACAATGGACCCAGGACTCGGTGCGTTCCAATGAATCTTCCTACCAATATGACCATGTTGCGAAAACAAGGTCAAACAACCTCTAAAGATAATAGTGACTGCCTACCGAATAGGGAGTCGAAGATGAGACTAGCAATCGATATCACATTTGCCAGGAATGATAAATAAATTTCGTAAGGGAAGGTAAAGCGAAATTTATGATAAAGTACCTCACCTTTCATCACTCAAGCCTCTGTCAGCATAAAGGATGTGGTGTTACAAATGTGTAATTTGAGTGCAGTCATGTTAAGTTATTTTTACAATTTGTTGCTGTTTCACCAATAAAATTAATATGATTAACAGCAGTGTAATCGTATTGGCTACAATGTAGCTGTTTTAGTTTGAGCACCGCCAGGGACAAGTAGTATTCCTGAAATCCTTCTTTAATTTAAACATATCTTATTTTAGAAGTGGGTTTGCTTCGTTGTTGTAACTTGGTCTTGTTGTCAGGGCGACTTAGTAAAACGCGCCTAGTCCGAAGTCGTCTGCCATAGTAGTTGTCATGATTCCCAGCATCAGACAGTGCACTTAGTACATTCTCAAATGTTTCGCCTATATCATAGTTGGCATCTTTTTCCCTTCCTTCTTCCCTTTTAAATTCACTTCAACAGATCGATCCAGTTCCAACTCAATAATTACTAACAGTTTGGAAACGGACATATACTTACACATATCTAAACTTCTGCTGTTCCCGACATGTCATGTACATTCTATTTTCTGTTTCTAGATTCGACGAAGAAGCCCTGCCGAGATGGCTGGTCTCCAGCAGAGCGATCATGTGGTTGCGATTAATGGTGTCCCCACGATGGGGATGCCACATGCCAGGGCCGTCCAGATAATCGACTATGCCTCCTACATTCTCACAATCACTGTCAGCAGGTACAGTCTTAAGGGGAGGAGAATAGCAGGGCTCGGCCAGGTAGTCGATAGGCTACTAGAGCTGGGCCGACTGTTCATTGCATGCAAACTCATCTATGCCGGAACGGACGGCGAAGTCTTTATTAGTTCGAGCAATGCATAGTATCTTCAGGAGTAGAAATATTCTCTTGACAACTGGTCCAAAAGTATACACGAAGTTTGGCTAGGATTTAATAGTCGCCTGTGAAAAGGTGTTTTATGAGAATATGCGTAGGTTGATTTCACTATAAATTAGCAGTTAATGCTCGTAGGATAAACGCAAATGTACACGTAAGGGCTGCTGGGCCTGAAGGCCAGAAGTGGCTAAGCACACTTCAGAAACGGAATATATGTAAACATTTTCTTAAACACTATCGGATTATCATATATATATATATATATAATAATAATTATAATTTATTAGCCATCAGCAAACAGAATACGATTCAAACTTTTGACTGTCTGATAGCAAAAACTATGTTTGAACTCGTGAGTGAGTTAGTTTTCGAGACTAGAAGTAAATCAGATATGTGAGTTGTGCTCATCCCATTTCGCTTAAGGTAGTTGAATTTTCCTACAATGATCTGATGATGTAAAATTCAATGGAAAACATCAACTTTACTCACATCTTTGTGGAAAAATTAAATTACCAGCCTATCATCACCCTAAATTAAATGGGATTGGCACAACTCATATATATTTGTATTCGTTATACATGTGTTTAAAATTAAGCAACCCGACAAACGTAGGTTCGGCATTACGCCACCACAATCGGATCATAAATCTATGATGGCCCTGGAATGAAGCTACCCTCTGTTCTAACTACTCTGATTTATGATTTGTGACTTACAAATTGGTACATATACGCTACAAGAAAACTACCAGAAACTAAATGGACCATTCTCTATCTAGCTACCAATATTTTTGTAATTTTATGTTTGTAAGCAAGAGCCGGTGATCTTTTTACTCTGATTTGAAGCGATATGAGAATAAAAAACTCAGCTTGTTTTTACTGGAACTATAGCTGGATGTCTCGTGGACTGTGCCAGTCTGATCTTCATGGCAATATCAAACGACTGCAGCACAGATCTGTTCGCCCATTTAGAGCTGCTAGAGCAGATTCGCACACTTAAAAGATCTCATTACTTTTTATAATGCTCCATTAAGGCTACGAATATGATGCCTTATCTTCTTCTAAGTTCACTCTTCTTTACGTTTTCCACTTAGATACGAAAAGCAGTTGCGCATAGAAACCTTCTACTTGGACAATTATGCCCTGCGCTCGCAACAGGAGCCACAAGAAATCGCGACCACCGAACTGCAGCTTGTCTGGGAGAAAGAGAATACACCCGTGCCTGAGCCGGAACCGGAGCCAATGGTCATTCCAAGCGAT